TTGAAAGTTCTAATTTTCAATGTTGTGCGTCTTTTGTTTATGCTACTTCTTCTCGTTATACTAGGAGGATTTTGTGGGATCAAATCTTGAATTTTTGTAATGTTTGCAATCTTCCTTGGCTTGTTGGTGATGATTTTAACAGGATTACTAACCCGATTGAGCGTATAGGGGGTTCACTTCCTATATTTTAGTCGATGGAGGATTTTTATAATATGATCATGGCTTGCAACCTCATTGATATTGGTTTTTCTGATAACAATTTTACTTGGCATCGTGGGCACTTGTGGCAAAGGTTGGATAGAGTTCTTTTTAGTAATACTTGGATTAATGCTTATAACTTGACTATGGTTGAACAACTGAGCCGTACCCTCTCTGATCACTCTCCTCTGCTTATCAATATTAAGAATAATACCAAGAGCTTTCCTTCACAGTTTAGATTTTAGAATATGTGGTTGCAACACGAGTCTTTTCTTGAGGTTGTCTAAAACGATTGGCATGCTCCGCTTTTTCCTAATGATTTTATTTCTGGTATGAAAAGACTTTGGCTCAAATTGAAAAGGCTTAAGCAAGTGTTAAACTGGTGGAATCATAATATTTTTAAAGATTTATTCACTAATATTTTACTTGTTGAAGGCATGATTAACTCCTTTGAGGATCTTTGTCAGTTGGATCCCTCTGAGCCTAATCTACATCTAAATGAGGCTAAAGTGGATCTTCTAAGCTTCAAGTTCAGGAAGAAATTTTTTGGAAACACACTGCTACCGCCAAGCATTTGGTGGAAGGAGATAATAACACTAAATATTTTCATGCTTTAGTGAATAAGAAATGTTCTATTAGCTGTATTCATATAATTTCTCATGATTCCTAAGTTTTTTTTTTTCTTCTACTTCTATTGCTCTGATTCTTAGGAACAATGCTGTGAATTCTTGGAATGATTTTAGACCCATCAGCTTGTGCACTATTTTTATAAACTTATCTCTTAAAACATGATGAGATGGTTATCTGTTTTATTGCCTAAGCTTATATCTCCTTTTCAAAAGGGTTTTTGTCAAAGGGCGTGCCATTGCTGTCAATATCCTTTTGGCTCAGGAATTTTGTCAGGACTTAGATATCAAGGTGAGAGGTGGTAACATGATTATGAAATTGGATATTGCTAAGGCTTATAATAATATTAACTGGAGTTTTATTTATAAGATGTTGAGCTTTTTTTGTTTTGATTTTAATTTCATAAATCTTATCAAATCTTGTATTGAAAGTCCTTTCTTCTCTATTATTGTGAATGGTAAGAGCCATAGTTATTTTAAGGATTCTCATGGCTTGAGGCAAGGTGATCCCATTTCTTTGGCAATTATGATTATTACGGTAGATTATCTTTATAGAGGCTTGGCTGATCTTTTCTATAAATGCCCTAGTTTTCATTTCAAAACTTTAGGTGGTATTAATATTCTCCCCTTTATGTTTTGCGGATGATTTCATTATGTTTTCGAATGCTTCAATGAATAGGATTAGTAAAATTTTGAGTTTTTTTGGCCATTTTGAATCGGTTAGTGGTTTGGCCTTTAACAAGCATAAGTGTTGCTTTATTATTTCTAAGAATGTTTCTCCTGAACGAGTTGTGAATATTAAGAATCTTATTGGTTTTACTCAAGGTGATTTGTCTTTAAAATATATGGGCATTCCTTTTTTTAAGGGTAGAAAGATGTCTTTTCTTTTTGATGATTTAATTTCTATGGTTCATAATATATTGTCTTCTTGGGATTCTATTTTTTTTAGCTTTGGTGGTCGTCTCACTCTTATTAAAAGGGTTATATGCTCTATTCCTATCTATAGTTTCAAACTCTTTTTCCTACTAAGAATATCTACCTTAGAATTGATATAATTTTGAATAATTGTTTTGGAAAGGTATCGAGAATAACTCTAAGTTGGAAATCTTGGGGTGGTTGCTATGGTACTCTGCAAGAAGGGGCTTTAGGATGTAAGACTTCGGTTGATATGGCTTCTTCTTTTTCTTTCAAGCTATGGTTTAACCTTAAGTCTAATGTGAGCCTTTGGGCCAATTTTATGAGGGCCAAATATTGTAGGGGGAGGCATCCTTCTATGTGTAGCTTTTCTAAAGGCCAATCTAAAGTGTGGCATCATATCTGTTTGGTTAAATGGAAGGTGGAGTCATCTTTAGTTTGGGGTCTTGGTAATGGGAACATTTTCTTTTGGCAAGATAGGTGGCTTAATTGTCATTCGATTGATTCTTTATTAAACACTTATTCTATTTCTAAGGTGAAGGTTAATTAATTTTTTCTCCTAATGGTTGGGATTTGGAGAAGCTTTCCGTTGTTCTCCATGATTGCATTATTCAGCTTGTTTTAAAGATTCCTATTAATAGCAATTAGAAGGATATGTTACTTTACTCTTTTACTAAAGATGGTTCCTTTAGTATTAAGGATGCTTGGCCTTCTTTCGGAACTAAAAAGGAGACTTCTAAACTTTTTAAAATGATTTGGCACAAATGTATTCCCTCTACGGTTTCTATCTTTATGTGGAGAGTTCTTCACAGGCTTATTCCTACTGATGAGAATTTGAGAAAAAGAGGTTTTACCTTTCCCTCCAAATGTCAATGTTGTTTCCATGTTGAAAATATGCATCATGTCTTCATCTCTGGTCCCATTGTTGTTAAGGTTTGGACTTTTTTTGAGGGCTTGTTTCAACTTAATTTATATGATACTTCTAGTTCTATTTACCAATTGCTTGACCTTTGGTTTGTTACGTCTAAAGGTCATGTTAGAAATGTTATTTCATCGCTTATCTAATGGTTCTTTTGGTTGGAGAGGAATGACTCTCGTTTCAATGGGATTGTTATGAATCATCAGAGAATCAACCATAAAATTAATGATAAAGTGGCTGGTCTTTATTCTGCCAATTTGCTCTCAATGAAGAATTTTAAGAACTATTTTTTCACCCTTTATTTCTTTGGTATTAACTTGGAGGTGGATAAGTTTCAAATCAGGACTAGCTGCACTAATTTGTGTAAGCCTCTTTCTAATTACTTTAAGTTGAATGTGGCTTGTGCTAAAGTTGGTAGCATGTTTGGTTGTGGTGTTTTTATCAGAGATCATAATGGAAATTACATTTCGGGTTTTGCTGGCCCAGGGAATGATGGTGATACTAATTATATTTTTTTCTCTGGTGTTTTTCATGGGTTAAATATCTGCGCTTCTCTTTTTCTTAGTAATATTATTTTGGAGGCCGATCCATATTATGATTTTAATTTTTGTCTTGATAAAGATGATAATATTTGTGCCTCTGCCCTATTTTACATTTGAAGATAAATTAGAGAGGTGTTGAATTCCCTTACTTTCTCCTTTTCTATCATTCTGGAAGAGGGGAATGCTTGTGCACAGGCATTGGATATTTTGGGTGGTATGTTTAATGGCCTTAATGATCTTTCTCTTGTTCAGTTGCCCTTTCATGTGCAGGGTCTTATTAGACTGGATCAAATCGGATTATCTTATGTCTTTCATTAATTTTGGTGGTTTTGTTATAATTCAGTGGTTGTGGGTCTCCTCTATTTTGTGGGGTTCCCTTACTAATTTGCTTAGCTATTCTAGTGCTTTTTCTACTTTTTATAGTTGTTTGTGGCTTTATCCCTTATGCCTGTTTTGGGGTGTTTTTGTGGCTTTCATGTTCCCTTCTAGTCTTAGTCTGATTTTCCTTCGGTTTTAATATTTGGGTCCTTTTGTTCTTCTGGTTTCTGTAGTGGGTTCTATTTATTATGGTTGATGCTTCTTGCTGAGGTTGTTTTACCCAGTGGTTTTTGGATTGTTGCTGGGTTGTTGATTGTGGTGGCTCTCGGTTTGGTGGGTTGTGATCATTATGATTTTGGTATTTTTACCAACTTAATTTGGTGCTTGTTGCTTTTTCGGAGCTGGATTGGGTTTGGATTCCATTATTTGGTTTCCTCCTTGTGTTGGTGTTGGCTTATTTGTTGGGTCTTGGATGTGAGTCCTCATTCTACTTGTCATTTGGTATTTTGGCTGCAGCCTGTGCCTTATATTGCTAGTGGTGAATGTGTATCTTATCTGCAGCTTTTTCATGTGTGGAGTAGGAGTTCTTTGTCTTACAATATGGCTATGTTATGGGTTGGTTCTGAGAACCTGTTGGTTGTGGTTGCTTCAAGCTTTTTATTTAATCTTTTTTATGGTTCTGGGAACCGTACTTTAGTTGGTTGGTTGGACTTCCCGTGTGCTGCCTCCTGATCTTTGTCTGCTCACCCCTCAGGTTGGTGTTTTACTCTCATCCAGTAGAGGTCGTCTTACTACTGATATCAAAAATTTTATTGGTTATATCCTGGGGTTTAAAATTTCCTTACTTTTTGTTTTTATAGTCTATTTTTCTACTGTTTGGCGGGTTATATCTTGTTCTTGCAGGTTTTTGATTGTGCAGGTATTAAGGTTTATAGGTTTTTTGTTGGGAAGCAGATCGTTTAAGCTCGGTTTTCTTCTCTTCCATCTTTTTGGGTGCTTTCTCTTAAGCACCATAAAATGTACCTAGGTTTTCTTGTACTTTTGTGTAGCAGGGACCTTGTGCTCGTAAGTGTTTTTGCTTTTAATTTTGTAGCTCTTTTGAGCAGTAGAGAGCGCAAGGTCCCTTTAAGGATTTTGTATTATTTTTTCTTTAATTAACGCATAGGCCCCTTCGTGGATTTCCTCTAAAAAAACAATAATATTATAATACCCCCACAGGCAACTCCATCCAATGGCAGCTTAATACATCTATCATTTGCAAATCAAAGAAGATGATATGAAACAAACACAAACATACGGTTGTCATAATAGTAGTAGGAGACCGTTCGTACACATCAAATGTCACTTACAAACAAAGAGCCAAAGGACCATAGCAAATGCAGATGCTTATGATCTACTGTAGAAAATTATTTGTGCATACAACAGGTTGTATGTTAGCGAGCACAAGAGGACTGCAACAAATACAATTGCCTATGATCGGTGTTAGAAGATTTGTATGTAAAGTAACTCAGCCAGGAACATGGGCATCATGTCCATGGTGAATGCAATATCTACAAATGCAAAGCAGGAGATTCATTAGTGCACAATAAACTAGAAAGTAATAAGTAGTGCATGATATTCTATCTGTACAAAATAGCAAATAACTCAATTCACAAGCTTCTACGACACGCCACTGAATCTGTAATATGTATAGAAGTAGATAAAAGGTATGTATAAGCTTCTAAATAGAACATTGCATTCAAATGACAATTTCCCACAAAACTTAGCAGCGTTAGATATGTCCAAAATGCCCTCACATATCTAGTTTAATATGTGTATACGTAGGTACATAAAAGGGCATATGCAATCATACAACCACATGTGCCTCTATGAGAATGTTATACGTACACACATGATGTCTAAGGATGCTGTGTAGGTTAATAAATGAACCATAATTCAAGCTTGATCCTTCTATATGGATAAATAAGAGTCGACATGGCTCGAACTATCAAATAAATATATCATCTATGTGTCGACTGGAATATCTATTTTATACGTTCATATGAGGCCTTCAAGGCATATGAACAAAGAAATTCATCAACAAATGCATAAAGCCTACTAAATTGAATCCTCTCTCAACAACTAGCTAGATAAAGTTGATAAGGTTCAATCCATAAATAGAAATGACCCAAACACCCCGATGATAGTCGTGTTGAATGTTTATCTCAATCGGAGGGGATCCAACCTTTTCAAATGCTCTTAAATTTTCACAAAATATAAAAACATGAATGATCCCATATAGCAAAATCTATCTACCCTATGCAACAATTTACCTAGTGGATAATTTGAAAATTACTTTAGCTCACAAAGAGCTAATGTCTATTCAAAAATGTCACTAGAATCCATTCTCAAATAATCTTCTACCAGTAAGAACATGGTATATATCCTCTGACCGGCAGTTTTACCACCAAATGGTACCACAGAATAAACGGTTATGACCTAGGGCCCTCTAAACCGAGTGATTTTGCCATGAGATAATAGTTATGGCTAGATCCAATAAGTTCCTTTGTGACATTAAATCCTTGAGATATGAATCAATAAGTTATAATCGATATAGAACAAAACCCTATGTTAGCTAAGGTGAATTCAAATTTGTCCCCTTAGGTAAATATCTACCCCAGGTCTATAAAGTATTCTTGGATGAAATAACCCATGGCAACTGACAGGGATCGTTCAGTCAAGTTGTGTCGATTACCTCCTATGACTAAGTAGACTAGGAATCAGGATGGCCGGGATGGCAAAACCAAGGGATCTTGATTGGGTCCATCATTTATTCCCCCACCATCCGCTTTAAGTGTAAGATGGTGAAATTTCTTATTTTAAATATCAACCCTTCAAATACTCGAGACCTATGCTACTGCTATATGCTAAATAACATGTATCTCTACGCATCTAGCCTTAATCGAAAGTTTTCTCTCATCATCGAGAGGGGTAATTAACTATATAGGTGCTTACGCCTGAAAGTTCGTTAGGGATGTTAGGCCCTATGAACTAGTCCCGAGGCTAACCAAGAGGGGGGGGTGAATTGGTATTTTAAAAATTCTTAAAAACTAAGAACAAATATCACAAACCAAAGTCACCACGGAAAAATAAGTACGAAAAATAAAAGTACTGAAGCAGTAAAAAGAACACAAGGGTTTATAGTGGTTCTGTCAACTTGACCTACGTCCACTCTCCGGAGGTGCCCTTCGAGTATTGCACTACCAACGTGACTCTCCTTTAGCCCCCACAGCTAGGAGGAGAAGCCCTTACAAAACACATCTTTTTTGCCACCCCCGGTAAGGCAGAGAACCCGACTCCTTTTGCTTCCTCCTGAAGCAGGCAGAGAACCTCGATCGATCGCTGAAGCTTACCTCTCCCAAACCTTCCAAGGACAAGAGACTCTAGGGAAGAAGAAGTGGAATAATGCTTGGAGTAACCCTTGTGAACTCCCTCACAAGCTCCCCCTCACAAGATCCTCTCTCTCTCTCCCTCTCTCTCTCTCCATTAGGTTTTCTCAAGTCAAGACAGTAGCCAAAAGATCTTCAAAAATGTTGAACAAGAGCTCTTAAATAGAAGAGCTTTATAGGAGCTCAATAATTACAAGTTATCGACTTTATCGTCCAGGACGATAATAATATCGTCATGTACGATCAATTCAAAACACAGAAGATCGGTCAGAACATCGCCCTGAAGATGATCTGGACGATTAAAAATTGGCTTGATCGTCCAGGCCGATCTCACGATCGTCCCGGATGATTAATTCAAATCAGAGGAAAATCGTCCAGAGCATCGCCCTGAATTCGAACTGTCCGATCCTGATTGGCCAGGAGCAACTAAGGGTTTTTGAATATATCGTCCTGGCCGATCCTGCGATCGTCTAGGACGATGTGATCGTATCAATCATCTTTAATTGCTTCGTTAATTGCCGGATCAATTTAGACATAATTGTGCCATATCGTCCAGGCCGATCTCACGATCGTCCTGGCCGATTTCCAAAAATACAAAATACCTAAATTGATCATGGAGGCTATTTCTTTCTGTATTGAGCATATCGTCCAGGCCGATAAGTTAATTACGACTGCCTTAATTAAGAAATCTTGATTAGAACTTCTGTTTTGAACTCGATCGTCCAGGACGATAGTAAGATCGTCCGGGACAATGTGAGTAAAAACATAAATTCTAAATCTCTCAAGTGTGTGTGTGTAGGGTTACTTAACATCAGTCACTTCAAACATTTACAATTGACTCAAGAAAAGGAAAAAGGAAAATTACTGACTGACTCATTCCTATTCTGCCCAGTCTTGAGCTGTCCGATTTTCGTCCGATCTTTGAGTCATGAAAAGTCAGTAGAGAAAAGGCAGTCGTATTGTTTGCTATCATCAAAACCATAATTCATGAAACCAAATCTGCAACAATGCCTATAGGAAACCAGAACTCAGATCATAAAGTTCTCGCAAAATGAGGGCAAAATCTTTGGGTAGTGTCTTATATACAAACCCATCTGCCTTCAAAAAATTTACCCCAGAACTTAATTTTATTAAAACTCTCCCTAATAAAACAGCAGGGGAGGCCGGGAAGAAAAACATTTTGGAGCCCACGACGAGCTTACTTTCGAGCTAACAAGCTGAGTCAGGATTGACTCAAATTTGACTCATGAGCTCATCAAGTTAGGCTTATAACCTATTTTTTGAGCGAAGGTCGAGCTGGCTCACTAGTCGGCTTGAACCATTTACACCCCTACAAACATTCTAATCATATGTGAAACAATTGTTCTATGAATTGACATTCATGTTATAAATTCATTTTAAGTATAATTATTGATCTCATGCATATTGCAAATATGTGAAAATTTTCATCAAAAAGTTAGGACACGGACAAGGGTTGGACATAGTATTATAGTTTTTATAATTTTGAAAAACTGTATAAAAATTGAACAAGTATAATTTTAAAAAAAAAATTAGAAATGATTAGTCATTTAACTAAATTTTTTGCTTAAAATGGTTAATATATGGATGTCGAGAGTCAGACATCAATGTCGTTTATAAGTCATTGAGAGATGAGATGACAATATTGTCTAGAGTTGTGCATTGATGTTATGCAACAAATATTGAGCGTCAATTTTAATAGGCCATTTATTGTCGATATTGAGAGGGGTGTTGGTCGTTAATGTTGAGAAGGTTCCGTTGAAGAATGATGAGATGTCAGGTTGTGGGTGTAGAAATTGCTAGCATCGAGCATCAATGTAAAGACAACGTCATACTTTGATATGGACATCATCGAGCATCAAGTGTCGGTGCATTACAGACATTCACTATTTGCTCTTCTCTATCATTCAATGATAGTTAAATTACATCTCAATGATATTAGATATTAGCATTAAAATCATTATGATTCATTGAAATAACATTAACCATTATAATTAATTATTATAATGAACTTATTAAGTTGATCTATTTATTAAAGAAAATGTAAATTAAATTAATATAATTTAAAATCACATAATATTATTATTATTTTTAAATTTATTGATATGCAATTGATGAACATACAATTATACTAATCTATATAAATTTTTGTTTTCACATCTAAAAATAACAATAGTTACTCCATCTTTTTCTGATTCCACCACTAAGAAGAAAAACAAAAAATAAAAGCTCAACATACTCTCTTCATTTTTCATAGTCAACAAAGGAACAGTTTCCTTGTCCAATCAATCAGTTTCAGCATGTTAGATGGCAAATCATCTACAGGCAACTTATTCATGGAATGAAATAGATAAACATACTCCCAAAATCTCTAAGCAAAAAACATAGTACTTCCTTGCACATAAAAAGAAAATTTCAAATTGGTCAACAGTACTGCCTTTTGTCTCTATAAATTCTCATTTCTCACAACAACTGCTCACTTAGAGCTTTTAAGTTTTATTTTGACTTTTTAAATATCTGTTTTAAAAAGAAATAAAATAGTAGTCCCGAAAGAAATTTTAGGAAGACTTTCTTACTATTTAAAATAGTTTTTTACTATAAATATTTTTACTTTTTACTAAAAAATTATTTTAAAAAGTAATAAGAAAGTCATCTTAAACGAAGCCTTAACCGTAAATTCACACGCACATTTACATATGTTAGGCCTCAAAATCATGATAGGAGTAGAAGCTTTTAACTACCTAGCCAAATGATTGCTTAGAAGCTTATGTATATTTGCTACCATACTTTATAGAAAATATTTTTGAGAAATTAATTCACGTACATATCATTGAAATTCTATGCATTTAGATATCTAATATTCAAATATTTATATTTATTTATATAAAATTTTAACTTCAAAATGATATTAATACATATGCAAAACAATTTAGCTCATTTAAAGTAAATTAATATTAATGATATTTTTTATACTATTTAGAAATTGGGTGTTATATAAATAGTTATAAGAATTTTAATATTAGATATATAAATCTGTATAGTTTAATGGTATATATATATATATATATATATATATATATATATGTAAATTTCCAATATTTTTGTAATCTTTTAGCAACATGATGGTTATATTTAATAAGCTCAATATCTTATTAAAACAAACTATCTATCACATTTTTGGCATATATACTTGTATAAGATTTTTGGCAGCAGTGTAGTGTTGAGGTGAAGCAAATTAAATTAAGGTGTTTATCATAAAAAAATATAGGATAGGCACATTATTTTTCTCATATATGGAGCTTTCCTTATACTAATATGCTGCAAAATAAAAAACTTTGAAAATGTATTAATCTTGTTGAAACAAACATAGCTGAATTGAAATATATTCAAAACCAATATACTTGATGATGCTTTAAACATACATAACAGAATTGCTCGGCAAGAATGACATATGGAACATGAACCATCGTGCAATATGAATTGTGTGAGATCTGATTGTGTCGATCAATCATGTTGTACTGTTGACTCATATCTTAACTTTATCGGTTGAACTTGTAGGGGGGCTCCCCCTTGATTAAGTTCAGGAGCCTTGCCCCCAAATTTCCGTACAACCATACAACATACATCGACACTGTACATTAGAGTACAACAATGCAATACACTTGTGCATTGTAGCATCATAGGATGCAGCACGGTTGTAGTCTTGATTTGTAGAGAGTGGAGCGCCATGAATTGCTCCAACCCATGGTGTCTAGGTTCTATGAGTTAGGCTTAGCAATTCTCTTTCTCTTTTTGTATGTTTAACTTGATGGGTTGCATCGCTTGGTATAATTTAAATGTGTCTCTTTGTTAATTATATGTAATAACTTTAAGAGAAACAGCGAAGTGAAGTGCAGCAAGAAGAGAGAGCGAGTGAGCGAGAGAGAGAGAGAGATTTGTAAAATTTCTCCCAATTTTCATAATAAATTTCATAGTGTGACATGGCTATGTGATTTTTTTCTCGATTTCAAATTTTTCCACATTAAACCGTGTTCATTTTCAGTTTTTTTTTTCTTGTTTGTTAGCTTGTGTGTTTTACTTCCCCAACAATCAATCTATCACTATCTTCACTAGCGACAAAGACTAAAGAACCCAATCATTAAAAGTTTTAAATAAACAATCTAATCTTAAATAAAATATCGCTATAAAAATTTAATCTTAAACTTTAAGACTAATTAAGAGCATAATCATTAGTTTTAAATTGAGTTTCTTTATCAATGATCTTACTGCGCCGAAATGACATGTTTTTTTCTCAGATGGCGCTAAAACAATATTATATTAATTAACGGCATTGCTTAACTCACAATATAATGTCCTTTTGCCAATTTAGTTTAAATTAATTAAGCCAACTTTAACAAAGTGGTAATCCAATCATGCATATACCATTAAACTGACACTTGTAAACAAAGTGCGACAGAATAATCATAATCAAACAATAGAAACTTAATTTTTGACACACAATATATATATATAAGTTCTTTATAAAGTTTAATCAGAGAAATTATAATTATAATTCTCCTTGATTAAATTTTCTTTTCGGCTTTCTATTTTATGTTTTTTTTTCTGTCTCGATTGATGAATGTTAAATAAAAAAACTTCCTGTTCCCCAACACTCAAAATTAGTTAACCAAAAAGGTAAAAGAAGAACATGAAGAAAGGCATATGAGCATTACTTTCAACATATGAACCCATCTCAATACCAAATAAAATATAGCCACCAGATTTGACTTCCATGCACCTTTAACATGCTAAGAGTGGGCATAATTAAGCGTATCCTCTTTTGAAGATAAGAATTCCAATTCACTTGAGCCCCAAATCTAATTTAACGATCCATACTTACCTTTACATATCTCTCAACCAAAAGTCACACAACGATTCTCTCCACATCTCAATCTATGATGACACTCACATGCTTCCTTCCTCTCCTTCCTTTTGGATAAACTCACCTGTTGAAGAGTTGCTAGTAGAAGCATTCCATGAACGGGGAAGATAATAATTAGTGAAACTAGGCAGTAATCCATGAGTTGGGGATGGTAGATCATACGGATAATGGAGCCTTGAACTAATTGTCGAAATGTTTGCCGAACGATGTTCAACATAAGCATATCGGAGGAGTTCGGCGCGGGTTGCATCCAGCTCCTTCTGTAGCCTCTGCACTTGGCGCTGGAGGACGGAGATGGCACCGACGCAGCCATAGATAGGGTCTTTTATACGAGCTTCGGCTTCATAGGCGAGAGAGTTCACTGCGTCTTCGCGTTGGCTCGGAAGAAGCTCATTAAGGAGCTTTGTTACATTACTTGCACCAAACACTTTATGCACATTGATGAACTTTTGAGGTTCTTCAGGGGAAAAGTAGGGGGCAAAGATGCAACCAGGCATGCATTTTCGACGAAGGAACTTGCAAGCGGCGCAAGGAGAGCCGAAGATGGTAGTACTTGAAGATGCCATATATAGTAGTTTAAGCCCTAAACTGAAAAGAGAGAACCACAATTAGGGTTAGGGTTTCCTTGAAAATGAAGATTAAGTTTGGTTGTGGTGATAACTTAATGTTGTAGTTAGCATCATCTGTGATTGAATTCATAATTTTTTTTTGGAAGTTATTAAATTTCTCTCAATTAGGAAGTTGATAGTAAATAAACCATATAACTATAATCTTTAAGAAAAAGAAATAGTAGTTGTAATTGGCTGGGAGTGAATCCATAAAATTTTCTTAAACCACTATGATTTTATTGAATTAATTAAATCCAACCGTTCAAAAATAATTTCACTGTTGGGAATGGAATATAGTAGCTATAACCCAACCTATATGTCATCCAAGCTTAAAAGGATCTCAACCCTAGATTTAGCGTTTCATGCTCATCCTCAGTTCTCTTTAGTTGTTCCCTGAGTACTTCATCTCACAGGCTTTCTTTCTCCTTACATAAACCTTTGACAAACAAAGATACATACACCATCTCTCTCTCTCTCTCTCTCTCTCTCTCTCTCTCTCTCTCTCTCAATATAGTGATTATTCAGAAGAAATGAAATAGTTACCTTTGTGAAGGGTGCAGTTTCTTATCTGCACAAAGAAGGTTATGACAGTCGCCTTGGTTCTTCGCTACGAGAGAGATCCAGCTTTTAGCTTCTTGAAAGAAAGATAAAATCTTGAAAGTTTGTTAGAAGATACTGAATTTGAAAGAAGAATTCAAAGAGACAAATACACCCTTAATTATCCATTGTTGTAAGAAAAAACTTCAAACAAAAATCAGTTCAAGTAGAGGAATAGGGAAGAGAACTGTGAGCAAAGGGGACAGGTAGTGCAGAAGGAATATAGAGAGAGAGCTGGCTACAAAATTATTAAAGTCAACAGTATAGTTTCACTGTTCCAAATTAAGAAATTATTATACATGGAATGTGATTAACAAACCATGCATTAATGTCTACAGTATCCAACACCACATTTATTTTAGTTCATTTATCATATTATTATTATATTTTAATTTCATATTTTTTCAGAAATTTTAAGCTGTAAATGGACGGACAGAGATCGAAGGCTGCGGAGAACATTATGATCCTCTTTTTACCATCATTAAATATGAATATCTGTGTATATATTATTTTACTTTTAACAAATTTAAATTACTATATGGTTTTATATTAAGAAAAATATATTTAAATGATGCAGAGTTCGGATCATCATTCAGGTAGGATGCAGTAAAATCTGGAATGAGAACTTTGGGTTGAGAAAATTTTCTTTATTCTATTAAAATTTATTATAATATGGATATAATAACTTTATGCTTGTCAAGAATTTATAGCCTTTTACTGCCTGCTTCATGAGTCAGTGCTAGAAGGTGCCTTTGTTTTTTTAGTTTCAGCAAAGCTATATATAAGAGAATGCCAACGTATGTGTAAGTGTTTTCTTTATTTTTTATGTGACAAGTGAAAAACATGTTAATTAAAATGATTGTAATGAATTTTTCTCTAAAGTGCTTTCATGTAGACTTAGGGTTTGTTTGTGATGGCTTTTTTACTGTTTTTTAAATCAGCTTTTTAGTACAAAAATAAAAAATTTTATACTAGAAGACTGCTTTACGAAATTGTAAGAAAGCAATGTTTTTTTTTTGGATGGATCTTCCTAAAATTTTTGTACTAAAATGTCGCTTTAAGAAGCAGGGAGAAAGCAGTCCCAAATGAAGCCTTAGTTTTCGTTTGAGACAACCTTCTTACTATTTTCTAAAATAATTTTTAAATATAAAAATATTGACTTAAAAAGTTTTGTACTAGAAAGCAGTAAGAAAGTTGTTCTAAATGAAACCTTAGACATAATTTGGGATAGCTTTCTTACTATTTTAAGTAACTTTTTAGTACAAAAAAATTTTAAGCTAGAAATTTTGTACTTATAAAAAGCTATTTTAAAAAGCAATAAGAAAGTTGTCCCAAACTAAACCTTAATTTGCTAGAGAGGAACATCTGTGCGTTAATGGCTTTAGTTCCTTTCTTAATAGTGCTATATGTGAAGATGAGATTTTGGAAAAAGATGTATACTCACAACTTAAGTCTTTCTTTGGTAATGTTGTGAGTTCTTAGTAGAATACTATTCATTTGATAGCATTTTATTAAAATTATTATGCTATTATGTAAAAGTTGAGGTTATTTCATTAAAATTATTGAGAAATTAATATAAGTGTAAATGATGAGTTTAAGTAAATCATGATATGGGATATTATAAATGGAGTAACTATACTCTATGAGGCATTAATGTATGCAATATTATCTATCCTTAAGTGAAACTTTTGAACCATATATAATATTGAAATGTCATGATTACTACATCAATTAGGCTCAGTCATGATATAAATCTCTTATAAAGACATACAATGAGTAATATTCACTAAAAGAGACCCTAAGGCCATGCAACCTAATTTATATAAAAAAAAATCTCTAAAATCGATTTGAAGGTTATTTAACATTTTAATTAAAGTTATAGAAGTTAAAATTTCTTTAAAAGCCCGTTGAAATGTTGGTTTATGATAAATAGAACAAATATTTAAAATATAAGAAAAAAGTAACTTGTAATTCAATATAAATGTATTAAATTGCAAGTTAATATAAACAAGAAATGCTAGGTGCAGTTTGGTCTACAAATAAATTCCCAATAAATACAACATATTCCTTTTTTTTTTTTTGGAGAAAACTCACTCACGGACCTACGCGTTGATATAAAGAAAAATTACAAGCCTTACTCCTAATTTCTATACGTAAATATTAAAGTGTCTTACACTAGCACAGGGGTATAAATTAAGTGTATAAGTATTTGATTTTCTTTTCTCCTGAATCCTGATCGTTGTCTCTTTGATCAATTTTTTTGTGGGGGGGTTGGGAGGGTGTACTTTTGAGCCAATTAAGGTAAACTCTCACAGACTTTGCAAGTGCAATCTTTAAACCCAAGACTTGTTAATTGATAGCAAAAACTCACAACTAATAGATCAGGGTAAATTGCATGCATGCTTAGACTATATTTCACTTATAAACTTTTCAAATGAAGAGTAAATGCTAATAAATTTTTTTTTGCTCAAATGATATAATCCATATTTAATGAAAATCAAATAAAGATTTAAAAGTGAAAGATTTTTAAGATTTCTTAATAAATACTAATTAATTAGGGGTGTCAATTCGGGTCAACGGGTAGGGTTCGGGTTGAACCCGGAATTATTCGGGTCAACCCAAACCTGACCCATTTTTAAAAATGGGTCAGGTTTTCGGACTCGAATCCGACCAGACACGGCATGAATGACCCGGGGTTGACCCAAAATTGCTTGTTTTAGGGTAAAAAATCGGGTCAATCTTCGATTTTTAAGCCAAAAACGAGTCCATCTCAGGTTTTCGGGTCAAATATGAGTTTTTGTGTCAATTTCGGGTTGCTGGGTCAACCCGAACCCGACCCAATTTTTAAACAGGTTGATTTGTTGAACCCAAACCCGACCCGTTTAGGGTCGGGTTGACCCTAACCCAGATTTTTCCAGGTCGGGTTCGGGTCGTGTAAAAATTGACCTCTAAATTTAATCAAGATGTAATATTAATATTTTGTAATTAAGAGTTCAATTTTAAATCATAAAAAATGATTTAATTTAGAAATCTTAAATTTGAACTTAAAAATTGTAATAATTACCCAAATGAAGAGTCAATAACTATTTTTTTATTTAATTAAATACCCAATTAAGGAAAATGATATTCTTAATTTAAGAAAATTAGAAACCCAAGTTTATTCAAATAAAGCGGGTCATTGTTCCAATTAAACTTAACTAATATAATACATATTCTCAAATATTTTTAAAACTTTTAGAAATTATTTACCATTTTTAATAATTAACGCAAGATTCATAAAAAATATCAAACATCATAAATTACTTATGAAACATAAGAATATTGTATACCCTTTATTATTATTATTTGATAAAACTCACAGAGAAGTCTACATATTAATAAAAAATTACAGTTAGTTAATGGGATCTAAAGCATCTAATGCTCAAAGAGCTTCATCTAAAATGAAATTAAACATAAAAGCTAAAGATCTCAACTAAGATAAATGGGAAAGAGCAAAAAGAAAATATCTACTGGACAACAAGAAACTACAACTCAAAAGGTACCAGAGCCCCAAAAAAAATGAAGAACCCAAAAAAGCATCAGAATCAAAATGCAAGCAGCCAAATCACCAAAGAAATGACGTGTCATAGAAAAATATCCCAACTAATCCAAAATCAACAAAACAAACCTGAAGACCTCAAGATAGGAAACAAGTTAATAAGAGAAAGTTAAAGAAAGAAACAACAAAAAGGACAAAATAAACACAAGACCACCAACCATAACAAACGAACCACCACAACTAATACCTAAAGCAAGAAAACAAGATCCCAAATAGTTGGCTGGAGGCTTTAAGCATCCTAAAACTTAGAGAGTTCCAAGTTCTTGGGGTTTCAAACTGTTTACAATCAGTGACTTGTTGAACTAGATACAAAAGTCTTTTAATTAATCAAGTTCAAACAAATGTGTGTGTAAGATGATCCTTCCAATATTGTTGTTTATGGATGATAGTGAAGAATGGAAGAAATGTGGAAGTTACATGGTTTTCTTTCTCTAAATTACAACATTATCAACTCAAGAAAGATTAAATTTTAAATAAACCTACTTTTATTTTACTATTGCACTTTTTATTTTTAAGAATGTATTTATATGAAGTTATATTGAAGTAATGACATATTGCAAGAAGCAAAATATTAATATGTAAAGCATAGAAAATAACAAAGAATGAATTACATTACCGCTCTCTCATCTTGCCTAAGGTTTACATTGTGAATTGAAGAATATAAGTTAGTTACATGAGAGCAAGCACTATTGGCTGAGTGGTCCATTCTACTATACGAAATACTATTGAAAATGATATCTCTGTCAAGACTAATAAAAGCTAC